TAATTGCTCGCAAATTTTTTCACCTCGTCACTTACACAATGTTTTCAGTTTGAGAGAGTTGATTTCTCTCCGATATGAACTTGATTAAATGCTTAATTGGACTCTAAACTATGTCCTCCCCAGACAAATAAAAAATCGTAATTTTTCATCGTTGCGCTGTAGAAGTTCTGGCCCAAAAGGAAACAGAGGTAGAAATCAGGTATGCGCGATAGACTTAACTCCACGTGGTGCACCCTGGGCAAAGTATANCTAATGATAACTATCAAAACGCCTGCCATTTGTTATAAAAATAAATATTTGCACAAATTAAGATAGACACAACTCGAAAGACTCCTAACCTTTTGGTAAAGAAGTTGATTGAAATTCCTCAGTACCGGTTGCCAGAGGGAAGTGAAGAGAGAAGGCAGAAGAGCCTTTGAAGTCGCCGAGAGCTCACGACTCAGATGGACAAAAAGGCTACCAGCATGATATGAGATACTGCCTGGTACAGTAGGACCTTCATTAGATCCCTCAACTCTTGCCCACTGTTGGCGGTCGTCATAGAGATAATCCTTGGCCAGTTCTTGCAGGTTCTCAAACAGACTTTGGCCAACGCGTTTCAAAGCACCGTCGATTCGGTGTTTGTATACTTCACATATACCAGCGAAGACGCCAATATATTGACTACGTTGATGAGTAAATGTCGTGGACTTTGACCAATCTGGAGACGCGGTTTCCGAGAGAGCCGCCTCTATTCGTTGCGTGATGGTTTTCCAACCTCCATTCACATCGTCTCCCTTAATTTGGCAAAAAGAATAAGGTCGGTCAGAATTTTGGCTGCACCACTGTCTCGACTTTTATCAAGCTTACTTCGTGTTAGAACATGTATGTAAATTGCGATCTCAGCTGTTAAAAATTACTCGCAATGATTCAACATTATGAACCTTTGAAAAATGCATTGAAGAGGCAAGACTGGCAATCATAACACGACAACCGGCCAATAAGCATGGGGATTGGGTCATGAAAAGAGAATTTTGGAAAGCGAAAAAAACTGTCAAGTAAATGTCGTGCCATCTGAATCCACAAAAGACTGGTGAAGCAAGACTCATTTGACACCCCGACTTTACTCTTTCCAATTTCCCTCAGTTTATCATTTCTACACTTACTTTCAACCGAGTTTAGTTGCTTCATGCAATTAAAAATCGTGAAATTTTATATTACTGTAAATAATAATGTCAACTGTTTGACTGGTGTGTCCTATTAACAATTTCGCATTAAGAAATTAATTCTATCTTAAGCCAAAGCCAATATCTCAGAATTGAAAAATCAACATTACCTCCATCTCTTCATCCACCCAAGGATCCCATGATGTGGTAAGAAGTCGACGCGATTCCGGATCCTCCCAAACCTCCACAAAGTACTACAATAGAAGGAAAAAAATGAAAAATGTGACATAACTAAGTGTATACTTAAGTAATCGATCATCGCCCACTTGATCATTACACCACTCCTGCATAGTGTTTAATACCGACTGTAGAACGTTGAGTATAGAGGTCCAACGTGAGAGACGATCAGTTGAATCGTCAGTCGATGAATCACCCTTGCTAGTGGAGGTCTTGGATGATGATGCATTCCACGGAAGAGCATTGACCATAGTTTCAAGGAAAATGAAGAAAAGATCAAGTTGGATCTTGCAGAAGAACACCATTGATTTAGTAGCGTTGTGACGTAGATTAGCAGCTCGACGTGAGATTGAGTAAACTAGAGCCACAAAATCTCCAAAGCACTGAGGGACTCTGTCAAAATAAACGAGACTGAGAGGCTAAATTTAGTTCAAATTAGAATAAATAAATGCTAAAGTTCGTCAAGATCCCCTCCCCTCCCCCCACCTGAGAAACCTTGGCGCACAATCGCAAAGTCAAGGATTAAAGCAAAGGACGAGCTTCGTAGAAAAGTTGACACATTAGCAAAAGAGCTATTGAAATCCCACCTTCCAAAGGAGGCTCTGAATCCACATAGGTAGACTTCAGACGAATGCTAAACCAGATTTCGACAGGAAAGAAGACAAAAATTGGGTGGTAATTCCTACTAAGAACTCTACCGAACATCAGCCACAACGGAAACCCAATCTATCTCCATAAAGAGTTGACAATAAATCATTATGTTTTCAAGAGCTTATTTAGGTAATCATTAACCTCTGAGGGCTATTGGTGCTTGAAGCTGCGGTGGCCTTAATTTTCTAATGGAAAAGCACCATGTCCTGAAGTAGTAGAAGCAACTAATTAAGTGGTACTTGAATAAACTATGTTGGGGTTCAGTTTCCCAATTAGCGGTGCCCGAAACCCCTTCACCTGCTTACGATACTTCTATTCAAAAAGACTGCAAACTCAGCTAATAACAAAGACAACCGTTTTACTAACTGAATCACGGTAAGTCAAAAATGATGGGAAGACTAGTTAACAATGCTGACCGGCTCAATCTTCACCGTTGAATCAAAACTCATATCACTGGTAGAATAGTTGACAAATCAAGCCTGTAAGGGCTATGAAGTGAAAATACTTCTGCCAGGAAAAGTAATCGCACTACTGCCGAAATTATTGGCGGAAAAGGCAACATTGTAAGCTTCGTTCATAAAGATGCGGCCTTGATTTATAACTCCAATTTCAGTTTAGTCTAATGAATCTAACCACGTTGCGATAGTGGCTTAGCACTATACGTGTGGCCAAGGTAAAAGAGGTCTAGATAGGAGACATCTGGTTGATTCCCGTAAGCAATGAATATTTCCCAATGAGCAAACCGCATGTACACACAGTTACATTTAGCATTAGCGACTGAACCTGCAACTCTAAATTTAATGATCATTTTCTGGACAACATATTTAGTAGGAGCAACTGGTCTGTTAAAACATGATGATGAACCCTTCACTTAGCATTACAAATGATTTACATCTAAGGATAAGTGACAACGCAGCACTGAGCAATGTACAGTTAACACAGAGTTGTCGCTAGATATTACGTGACCACGCTCAAGTGTTCAATATCACTCTCAGTACGAAACAAGCATGGAACCTCCACACTACGGAATAAACAAACTCACGCTATATATTCAGAGATAGTAATACTCGAGCAGGCTTCAAATGATCAGTTTATCTTCCTATAATACAATTAGAATACCGATTATACAAAGGACAACTAGCCAACTAACCCATTTTCAACTCGCCAAGCATGTGGCTTGGATAAAATATTGTGGAGTTTGCGATGGGCCAATTCACTTTCAAGGGAGATCCAGTGTTGCAACACATCAAGACGACGTGTGAAGAGGTCAGCTGGACGTACCCCTTGTGAAGGATAGAAGAGACCATCTAGTCGTGCTTCAAAGGCGAGCATTTCGTCTGTCAAATGCCCGAAGAAACTTGGAGGAGAGGTCAACATGCTACTTTCTGAAATGCCAGCATCCTCCGATTTTACATCTCCATCAACTAAAGTAAGAAGAAAGTCACTTTTATTTACTTTGTCACATTCCTAAAGACTACATGGAATATAGATGGAAAACCTTGGGATATTTTGAATGGACACATAATTTCCACTCTTCTAGATAAATAATGGTCATATTCTAACTAAGACAATTTGTTTGAATAGAAACCTACACTTAAGATTGACTTCACATCTCGGCTTCGGAGGTGTTTTCAAAAGCCCCAAGTCAAACGAAATCTTATCCACCACGAAACTCAAAAGTCCCTGCATGAAATCGACCTGCAAATACCAAAGATTAGTCTAATGTGACAAACTACTTACTCGAAGACTTGAAAATGGCCTAATAACATGCTTCAGCTGTTCATCTTGCATCCAAGTTAACCACTGGTCATTTATACTTATCCATGTTAGCACCTCAGTAAAGTACCATTCTGGCTACATAAAGTAAACAATTGAAACAAGAGATTTACCTACCTTTTCAGGATTATTCGTTGATCGATTGCCGTAGAAGTTGAAAAGAAAGCGCTTTTCAAGCGGCTCCAATAAAAGACGCACAGGTAAAGATAAGTTCACCCGTTTTGCATTGTCTGACATAACTTTCGGTTCACTATATTTTTCTCCTGTTACAAAATAGAACCACAACTTACGGAAGCATGATGTAGGTGAGAGTTCGGAAAAGGAGTCTGAAATCCCGTATTGTGTTCATATCCCAAGGACATTGATCACCTAAGCGCTCTACTCCATTTTCCATCCAATTAGATGGTGGGCGAATTTTAGGAACTTCCATCTTTTTACAAGTATTTTGAAACATACTAATGTAGAGAGATAGGAAAGTGTTTAATAATTGAGCTTACGTGACAAAATTCTCAAGCAATGGAACATAAAATGATGGAAGAGGAAGTAACAGGGGCTCAGTAGAAGAAATATGGGCACCAATGTGCAAGGAAAGATTCCCAAAGGCAGACAAAGCCATTTCAAGTGAACCGAGTACGCGGGCTGACACAACTTCGGATCTTAAGCAAAAGTAAGTCATGAGACCCAATTCAGTAAACTACCGATAACGCGAAATCAGTTCCAATCTCTCCGATGTGCGAAGAGTAGATTGTATGGAATATAGGTTTATAATATCGGGAAAAATAGCCTCAGCTATATCTCCACCACCTCGCAACGACTCGGAGACATTAGACGTTAGTTCATCGAGACGTTTCTGAATTTCGTCTTTCGCTTTTAAGAAATTTTCAGCCTCGAATGAAAACTTTGAAAGCACATCGGTAGATTCCTTTAGAAAAATCTGCCAAAATTTTACTTAATAAGTTAGAATAAGCATACGAAACGTTTGAGGGAGGATATCTGATGTTCTGTAGATTTAATTAAAGACTCCAATTGTTCCTTTACATCAAATGAGGGTTGGATCTGGGAATTTAGAAAATCAGTTAGAGATGTTGACATTTAGGGCCAAGGAATCGCTAGATAACCTTGAGTTGAAGGCCATTTCGTAAAAATTTCTTTTAATAAATTTCCATTGCTTTTACACTGATTGTTAATCGTTGATTGTTATTTAGTTTACCATAGCGATTTTAAATTATGATATTATTTTAGTGGTAGATGAATCTTACGATAAGTTTTCATGACCGTAAACACTCTAGTGTTAGCAGTCCAATATAGTTTTTGACCAAATGAGATGAGGATACGATAGAAACCATATATCAAGTCTCATATCTCCAATATGAGTTAAAATTACATACTTTTTCAGAATGAAGCTTAGGACAGCTAAAAATAAATATCTGTCTTTATCGTCAAAACTAAGATTCGCTAATACTTGCTTACTTTCATTAACTGCTGTCCTTGCGCTTTGGGTGAATAGCTGCCATCCTGTTTCATAGGTATTCTTCATTTATAGTAACCATTTTTGCTCATTGCATTCCTTCATTTTCTTTTGCCTCAGTATCCAGTATTGTCAAATTATTTTAAGTAAAAAAAAAACTATTAATTTTTGTTCATGCATGAAAACTTTCTTTATTTTGACGCGTTAATATTAAAACCAATTCATTGCGATCGACTGTCATTTCATTTAAGTTTCGACAAAAGTTATATCGAAGTTCAAGTCGTGAAAATATGGTACTAAATAATTAGGTACTAATAAGAAAGATTATAAAATTCTTGAAAAAATTCTCATGGTTCAGCAAAATAAAAATTTTCCGTTACAGCACAATTTAATAGTTCCTTCAAACAATAAGCTATTTGACTTATGAGAATTCACGAAAAAAGGAATAATCAGGTTAATTGGCATGTTTTGAATTAATGTTAACTGCCAGAATTTGCAATTATGCTTAACAAAACCAAAATGTTTTATTCAGTTTCCATATATGACATTGACTAAAAATTTATCGCAAAGCACACAAACATTGAAATTATTCAATTTATGCCAATATAAGTGCCACAAATTTATAAATTTGTAAGCTTAACTTTTGTAAATATTCCATTTAACTCTTAATGATTTTGAAACTTATAAATCTTTGGATTATTTATTGTCAACTTCATTGCTTTTTATATAAGGGCATTGTTTCATGCTTTAATATTGTTTTTCTTAAGATTTGTTAATTTTAGAATACACCCCGAATTAAACCAATAAAATCATAATTTTTCTGAAATAAACCAAAGTTACAATTAGTTAAGTTCGACTTACATTTCAAATTCTATAACAAAATATTAGCCTCTGCAAATAAAATGCGAAAATTTGTCACGTTACTTTCAGTAGGATTTCAATCAATAACTCTTCCTTTCCGTTTACTACTACAACCCCTCTTTATGTTAAAATCCGCTTAATTTAGTAACTAAGAAAATATACTATGGCGTCTCCGGAACGACCCTTTTCAATGAGGCAAGCCAGAGAAGCTGAAGCATTGGGGTATTTCGACAAACGGAAACCTTCCTATTTGCCTTACTACATAACAAGACACAGGCATTTGGCAAGACGCCGATTACATCACGCTCGCAGCAAAGAACACGCACTGAAACATATAGACATAAGAAAGGGTTGGCTTGCTTTATTCTGGATTGTAGTTTTCCTTGTGGTAATGACTATTCTTTGCTATCTGCTCATGGATATACTTTCAGTCTACGTTTCACATCCAATTGCAACTCAAATCCTCACGGAAAATGAACCTCTTCTGTTTCCGGATGTTACCATTTGTCCTGTTTCACCAGTTTCTTACGGTTCAAATAGCTCTCTCGAAAAATTAAACGAGATAAAAGATTATGTTACGCAGAAATTAAAATATGCTGGCCTCCCCACAAATGATAAGAACATCGAAGCCGCTTTGCTTATACAACTGGCAACGAATAGGAGTAAGCATTGTTTTAATAGATAGTATTTCATCTCTTTGTTTCCGGTATCCAACACCAAGTTGTCATTGTATACAAATTTTCACCGACTAGATAATCTTGTTAATTGCTCGATATTCTTGTCGAACTTTATGTCACATAGTGCGTTTTGCACATACACGCGCGCACGCAATTCTCCAAATGATTGCAAGGGCTTTTTGAATCCACGCCACTCTTTTTATGAGAAATCATTGAGGAAACAACGAAAATATCCTCAGTGACAGTTCACAAGCTTAATATCAAAGAGATTTGAAAGAGGGATTATGCTTCAATGTAACTTGTAATATTACTACCAAAATTATTCATAACAATAAACTGTTTTAAGCAAAGTTCGTTCATAATTAAATATAAGTGGGAACCACCTGTAGGCAGTTTTTCGGATCTGAATATAAGTATAAGAGACTTTTTTCTCAAACTAGGGGTAACTGTAAAAATGGCTAAATAATTACGTGAGGATTTTGTAGTGAAACAGTTTCCCTGAGTTTTTCCGATTAAGTTTTGGCGATCTATTCATTGGCATGGACATGTTACTTTAACAGATTTCACCCACTTATGCATTTGAACAAATGAGTTAATGATACTTTACATCCTGATGTCACTTGGAAACCTCAAATTCGAATGCAAAACAAACTATTTGGGAAACAAAAAACAAGAGGATAAGGTCACGTTTTATTAACCAAGTACATTAAAGAGCGAACGAGAAAATGAAATTTAAAAAAGTAATTTATTGACAGCATCCAAACCATACAATAATTTCGACCTTATCAAATGAATTTTTAGTTATGACTGTTAATAAGGAGTTTAATATTTGCTCCTAATCATTTACTTTTAAGATTTGCCCTTTTAATAACAAAATATTTGCAAAGTATTCTACCGTTCTTATCGTGATTCAGTCAAGATAGCTTTAGTAAACACCAAGTACTGTTCTTTATCTTGGACTTTAATCCAACAGTTTATGTCTCTTGGATTCGTTCTGACAAGGGACCACTATAGCCACTTTGAATTATTGAGAACTACTACAGGGATGAGATGAAGAATTGGAAAATTTAAAATTTAAATAAATACCCATAAGCTATCTTATTTCAGAATAACCATTAAAATCCTTTTCTCAGAATTAGTAGATTCGAGGAGCTATGATCATATTATGTACTGCAAGTACAACGGAGAGCATTGCTCCTTTGCCAATTTTACGGAAGTTTATCATTTGCGCTACCTCAAATGCTTCACATTCTCACCTCACAAGGTTACTCGTCGACTGACTGTTGGCTCTGGGCTCACTTTTGCTTACGTAGCAGATCAAAACGGCACTGGACCGAAACCGTATATGCTGCTTAACGATCTCGAAGTGAGTCTTAGTTTTAATGTCAATAAAGGCGTACTCTACTTTTAATGAAATTTTTGTTAAGCACCATTCTAAACTTGGCTCGAAATTAATTTTAACTCTCAAGACTGCTTCGATTTTTTGTCCCAAAACAGAGCAGCTGATCTTTTGGGAAGTACTACTATTTTCGAGGACTCTCTTTCAAGATAAAAAGCTGCAACTCTAGCACCAGGGATTGCCATATGAATGGTAGTTAAGAAATGGACGAACTGTATCTCAGATAATGGTTTAGTGTATTTTATTTCGAAATTATATCTTATATACAAGTGTGGATAATGAGAAAGACCGGTTTCCAGATTAGACACTTGTAGCGGATTGCTACTTTATTAAAGCCTGACTGACTCAGAAATCTCTATGCAGATTCTCCTACACCTAGCTAGGCTCCCAGAACCAGCTAAGCCATAGTCCAGCTATGAAAGGAAACAGACGTATAGCACGGAGCACGTTTATTCGGGACGTATATTGCGGATAAGGTGTACACGCAGGGAGCTACTGATGATTTCAAACTACCATCACCCCACTGTATGTCATATTCTACCCCTACCACAGTACTCATCTTACCCTTTCTGAGCCTTGGTGTCTGTTTCTTTTACATCTGTGAATCACTCTTCCGTTCTTCCTCTCGAATTCTCATTTTGATATTTCTCCTCCCCTCTGTGAAGCCCAAAGTCAACTAAAGGGCTAATGATAACTATCAAAACGCCTGCCATTTGTAATAAATAAATAAATAAATGAT